CTAAATAACATTACTCCTTCAAGATCACCCTGTTCATTAATATTTTTTCATTTTAAAGGAAAGATTTTACCAATGTCAATGTAGCACATTGAACACACACCTTAAGCAAACAGTTGCTTTAGCAAGATTTACTATCAGTCCAGAACTCTAGGTACAAAATATTTTATAATATGAATGAAAGTGACTCAATAAGGATATAGTTGTGTCAACATTATACCAGCTGGAAGATTGAAAGTAAACATTTCTGCAGGGTATCCTGTTTCTTCCTTGGTTTTATGTACTATGGATGCAGGTTTTTAGACACCTTTACAAACTGTTTTTGCACACAGTAACTTTGCGCACAGCTATCTAAACATGGGTGAAAAGATTATAATAAAAAGGACTTCTTTTTTTGAAAATGAATATTGATGGAATTAGTGTTAGCCATTACAGTACCACATGAAACAGTACTTTTTGTAATAATAATAATTGCTTACATTTATATAGCGCTTTTCTGGACATTCCACTCAAAGCGCTTTACAGGTAATGGGGCTCCCCTCCACCACCACCAATGTGCAGCATCCACCTGGATGATGCGACGGCAGCCATAGTGCACCAGAACACTCTCCACACATCAACTATCAGTGGGGAGGAGAGCAGAATAATGAAGACAAATCATAGATGGGGATTATTAGGAGGCTATAATTGGTAAGTGCCAATGGGAAATTTGGCCAGGACACCAGGGTTACACCCCTACTCTTTTCAAGAACTGCCCTGGGATTTTTAATGACCACAGAGAGTCAGGACCTTGGTTTTACATCTCATCCAAAGTACAGCACCTGTTTACAGTATAGTTTCTCCATCACTATACTGGGGCATTAGGACCCACATGGACACCCCCTGCTGGCCCCACTAACACCTCTTCCAGCACCAACCTTAGTTTTTCCCAGGAGGTCTCCCATCCAGGTACTGACCAGGTTCACACCTGCTTAGCTTCAGTAGGTTACCAGTTGTGAGTTGCAGGGCGATATGGCTGCTGGCATATTTGTAGCAATTTCTTTATAACATATATTTATTTCAAAAGTTAAAATGCATGGATGTACTGTGATGTTTTATTTCTAATTGTATTTCAGTTGATCTGTATACAATACATGAAAATACATGGTTCACTAAAGTTAAAAAGATTAGTGCTTTTAACAGGCCAAAAGGAACCATTTGCTCATAAGCTTATTTTAAGGATATACTGTGGGAATGCTCACACTCTTGAATTTACAATACCTCTCTAATAATCATAAAATAATAGTACGCTAAAGGTAGGATACACCCTGGAAGAGATGCTAGTCCATCACAAAAGTGCACACATACAGTATACTCAGCCATACATATGGGACAATTCAGAGAGACTAATTAATTTAAGCTGAGTCTTCAAACAGTGAGAGGAAATCAGATTGAAATCAAACCCAACAGTAATGACAGTAATAATAATAATCATAATCATAATCATAATAATGACCTTTTATTTATGAGCACATTACTAATTAAAAAAAAAGCACATTACTAATTAAATTAAAAAACTGCACACCAGCATACATTTTCATACACTTAACAAATGTAGAACTAAATGCCCAAAAAAAGATCCTACCATGGAAAAAAGGTGTAAAGATAAAGTCCAAACCAGAGTCGCAACAGCTCTTACAGCCAGAACTCATCTTCATTTATGCAGAGTTAAGTGGACTAGTGAGCATGTGACTCCCCTGCCCCCATCCTGGATTGGGTACTGGTCCATCATAAGCCAAAAGCTGAGAATATAATTACACTTATACTTTATAGTGAAAAAACAGGTCTTTACACAGTGAAAACTGTAACTTTACAGACCTGTCTTTAAAATGTTGACAGTTGCAGAAAAATGTTATCAATCACGGTGAGGAACACAAATGAGGTACTGCACACTACAAAGCTTTATCATTCACTGCATGTGGTCTGGTCTTTGGCAGAATGAAAAGGTTTGAAGACCCCTTTTTAAGTGCTGGACAATACTCATTCAATAAATCCTTTATAAAACCATTCAATGTTGTATTCATAAGTAAAAGAACCTTAAAGCTCCCTCTGATTTCCAGTAACTTGTAAAATAAAGTTTTTTATTATTGTTATAGAGAAACATGATCAGATTTTCCCTGGTTCAGAAAAAAAATCTAAAGTGCTACACATAACTTTCTTAATTCGATGTATTTAAAGCAGTGAACTACTGTAGGTGTCACATAACATTCAGAAATACAATCACATATTTGACAAATAAAAACGATTACAATCTAATCCTTCCACGTTTGATCCCAAAATCCCAAGAAATATAAATCTTGACGGGTAGAAAGCTATGCTGAAAGTTTATTAAGATACTTAGAAGACAAAGATACTGTATCAATTTATGTTGCATTAGCCTGATTATGATTAAAAAACACATATAATTAAACACGCGTTTGCGATTTAAATCAGAACACGATTTAAATCAATATAAATGTTTATATTGTAACGCGTACTGTCCAGCCTCCATTTCTCTATAAAAATTTACTCTGTTGCACACACACACACAATAGAAGCAGGAAGCAGAAGCTGGGACCGTTGTCAGAAGGGAAGAAGGTGACTATTCATTGTTATCAAAAATGACTTAGAATCGATCATGTTGCGATATTTTGAAATATAAAAGTCAATTGATTGTCCATAATATTTTGTTTGAAATGTTTGTTAAAAGAAAAGTCCAGCACCAGCTGGATTCGAGCACACAACCTGCTAGTTGTTAGTCAGGCACGGAGACCAGTAGGCTACAAGACAACTTGCATGAACAGGGAGGCGAAACAGCCCTACACAGCCCTGTCGGAGTACACGACTATAATCATACCGTTATTAAATTCTTTAGATACACGATTCCATATTATATTGGCAGAAAAGCTTAAAACTACCACTTTTTCACACGCTATTTCACATGCTAGTTAAATACTTCAATGCTTAAAATCGTTAGGGAGAAATGGAATACCGGTGTGTATTTTTCCTTTAAAGTACAGATTCCTGGAATCTGACTGGCTGACACCCTTCTGAAGTGGTTCCATAAAATCTGGTATACGGAAAAGAAAGCGTTCATAAATACAAGTGTCTTTTAATACACTCTTTGCTGTGCTCTTGAGGATATTTTGAGCTCTAGTTGAATGATAAGTGTCGCATTTTAAATCATTTTCGTAGTTAGAAATTTTGAAACGCCCTGTTAAAAGCAAGGAACGTTTTATGCCCGTTGAAGTAAAACAAAGTGCCTGACAAAGTATGGCTTGGACAGATTCCAAGTGCTTGTACAAATGTGCTAAAGAAATTATACTTTGTATACAGCTTGTCCAAAGTCATCCATTATTAATACTATTAGTAATATCTTCGGTAAAGGCTTTGATGCATAAATATTTCTGATAAAGGTAGGTTGTGTACTTTTGTCCAACTGAGCAATCTTGCTTTCATGAAATATACCAACATTTTAATGACTGATGATTAACATGCTGTAATACACAGTTCAAAATGCTGTACATGAGAGGTTAAGCTCCCCCTGGTGGTTTTAAAGGTGACGCCGGATAGTTTCCGGCATGAGCGTCAAATGACGCGCGATTAGCCACGTGACACTGCGTGACACTGCGTGATACCGCATGATACTGCGACACGCCCACCGGGGTATGCCGCGAAATACCTCACCCATTTTGAATGGCTGCATCTGTATATGATTACCATGACCCCTCTCAATAAGACTAAGGTTTTTCAATATAACACTATCCAGTGGGAGCAACAAAAGCATTTAAGAGCAGATAGTCATTTAGAAAGAAAAAATCACTTTCTGATCAATACAAATGTATTGAGAATGATAGCCTTGTTATTTAATGATCAAGCATTAAAGTAAGAAAATCTGGAAGAGTTCCTTACCAAAGATAGTTTAAAAACAGTACAGTATGTCACAGTTTTGAATAGCTAGTGCAGACAACTGTGATCAATATGACCTAGTATTCACCTACAATAACTGACCCCAAGATAACACTAATATTGGATGTATTATTATAGACAAATTGCAACTGTCACACATTGTGCTGAATTGTGCTGTCACACATACTGTATCTGGTGGGAATTTACACTACTTACCACTTACACAACTTACACTACTCAATATAGTTTAAAAGGAATTGAGATCTTGAGAAAAAAATAAGGGATCATGCTTATGGAACCAAAAAACATACAGTACATTAAAAAATTCCATTAGTGATCTGATGTTGTATAGTTAATAAGACGTACAGTAAAAAAATCTTAATAATAGTCTTAATGAAATCATATGAATATACTGTATAAAGTATAGATCAAGGCTCTATCATGTATATATTTATATTTTTTTTAGAATTTCCGAATCTGAGAGAAATGAAAGAAACCAATTGAGCAAGCAGGACTAGTGAGTGTGCTTTCTGATCCTTGAGCAGGTTTAAAGTCCACCTGAAACACCAGGACCTATTAACACAGGAACACAGGAATAAACAGGATATAAATGCCTGCATGTAAAACTCTTTATCTCATTTATGAATCCCTTTTTAAAGTAAATAGAAAGATATCTATTTCCTTTTACGTTTTGTGTTTCTTTGGCAAAGCAGAACATCCTTCTGCTTTGGAATTAGGAATGGTTTATCCTAAACTATAGCATTTATTAATATGCTGCTTTGAAATTGTACTAAAATGTAGGTAAAATGCCTAGGTAGCTAAACATATTTAAATCATGGTAATTAAATATACAAAATTAAATGTTTTTAATAAAAACATTTTAACTTTAAGTCACAATTTTGGAAGTGACATAACCTAAATAGTTTAAAAATTCCAATAAGAAAGTAATTCACTTTGCTAGGAGTGAAGTTTCAGGATTTTTTATCAGCTTTCTCCAGTACTGCCTGCAGCTTCCTGGTTCTGCATGTGCTGTTTCAATAGCATAGCCCAGCCTCCTGATTCATTGATCATAGCTTCCTTAAATGTGCAGACAAACTGTGAACAGGTGTAACAAACCTGTCTGACAGGAGACTTAGGACAGAGCAACAGAAACATCATCAGGTACTGTAAACTGAATATTTCCTTTACCTTTGGTGTTGCTACACTTCATTTTTAGTGGTGGATGTTAACTGTTCTTTTAATGTTAAAGTCAACATTTAATTTTGACTCCAGTGTTTTAGCACTTTTTTTCTCCAGAGTTCTGATGTTTACTAGATTAAGAACTAAAACAACTAACAGACTAAGTCTAGCATTAACAGGTTATTTGGCCTACCTATCTTGATCCAAGGGTCTAACTCTACTTGAAAGAAGGCAGTGCATCAGTTGTGACATGGCAGGGTAGTTTCAAGAATTCTATAAAAAGGTTGCTATGGTCTCTAGTTCTCACTGTACTTCAGTGTGACAAGGTTAAGCATTAAATATAAAATTATTTTTATTATTATTATTATTATTATCAACTGCATATTTGTGTTTGCCTTCAGTTTTTTTATTGTGTTCTAGACATTCTAAACTGTAAATGTAGTACATCTAAACAAATAATCTACATCCTGTAACGCTGCTATGGTCACACCCATGCTTATGCTTATGGGCTGGGCATTCCATCTACCCTACGAGCCTGCTCATCTGGTTCCCAGAAGCAGCAGTAAACGAGAGGCCCCAAGACTAGCAGTGTTTGCTGTTCAGGAGTATCCATACGCACATATAAAGATGTAAATAATTCATTGAAGTCTAACTTGGAATAGGGAGAAAATAGGCTAAAAATAATAAATTAAATTTGTTTACAATAAATACAAAGGAGAACATTTCAAAAGAACCAAAGGCTGGAATTAGACAGAGGCTGGAACTGGAAGTGGCTGGAAGAGTTTTTTTAAAAGAAGAGCACTTGCCTTCTGGCAACATTCTGGGAATCACAAGGAAAAAATAAAATGTTTTAGTTTTCATTGTCAATAGAAATTGTAAAAGAAAAATTCAGGGACTACTCTGTCTTGCACCCTTTGCTTGCCAGGATAGACTCCGACTCCCCCGTGTTCCTGAATTATTAGAAGCAGTTAGAAAATGGATGGATGGGAATACAATGACTAAAGCAAATCTTTCTTTTTCTGTGTCTTTGTACTCAACCTCAGCATCTCTGCATCTCTTCTGGTTTTCTAAAATGAAAACAGGCACAGGAAAGAAATTACATTTGTTTTTGATTTGCATGTTTTCTGAAGAACTTCATGAATTAAACAATGTAATTGAAGTTCTTATCTCTCAGGAAATCATCTATTTTAGGAATATATAAATTTAGCAATACTGTATGTATAAAAGTTAAAATATAACCAATCTTATTCTGCTGCTAAACAAACTAGTAAAATTAACTGATGACTTATGTAAAGTAAAATGAAAGAGATATATTCTGTTAGGCTAGAAATTCCAAATCATAAAATTAGCACAGCAGATTTTAGGAACAGTGGTAAATGAATGTGTGAATTATGTAAGTAGAAAAGGAGTATCATTACAGGGAGTTCAACAAATACTGACATACTGTAGATGAATTCATCTATTCTAGAAACTGTTGATTAAGTTCAGAAATCAAACATTATACTAGTACAAGTCCTATAAAGCAATAAAATACTCCATGTACTATAATACTGTACATACATTAATCTGTAATCACTTTTATTGAATGCAATAAAATCTAATAATAACAACCTTCAGACTCTGAATGGCAAAAAGGGAATTATATATTTTGCTGCTAAACAAACAAAAGAAAGTAAAAGTTAACTGATGACTTATGTAAATAACAAAAGACACACTGTACATTAGCACAGCAGACTATAGGGACAGTGGCAAATGAATGTATGAATCACGCCAGTGAGACTGGACCATCATTACAGGGAGTTTAGCAAATAATAATAAATTAATTTTACCTGGAATCCTTGTAACTCATGATACATATAAGTCCAGGAAATAAAGCTTTACCCTGGTTGCTGCTTTTTGTTTTATTTTTCAACATGCTCATTTTATTTCTTTATTATTTACCGTAGGTGGTTCTTCATTTACATAGTGACGAGTGTTTTATTGATCCTCTATAGCAGGAATGAGGACAAGAGGTATGGTGGCTGTTTTTATCATCTAAGAATCTATTAAATGCAGCAGCATACTGTCTATTAAATAAATATCAAATGCAACGTATCATTTTCCCTTATACTGTACATGTCATATTTGCACACGGTTATTTAATGTTAATGTTTCTTTATTAGCCCTATACAATTTCTTGCATTAGGAATGCGTCTTTTCGCAAACCCTAGCTTTTCTCCATGGAGACACAGACACAGAGACAGGGAGAGAAGCTTGGGGTCAGAGCGCAGGGTCTGCCATCGTACGGCGCCCCCAGAGCAGTTAGGGTTAAGGGCCTTGCTCAGGGGCCCAACGGAGTAGGATTCCTTTGCGATATGAACTGGCAACCTTCCAGTCACAGGCGCAGATCCTTAGCCACAGAGCCACCGCTCCGCCTTAATCTAGCAACAATTGAATATACTGGATTCCTGCTACTGTACATCCCACTAGCGCACACCAATAGAGTATTATTTTTTAAATATAGATATACACAAAAATAGTCCATTGTTTTCTCATAACAATTTCAATAAAGAAAGTTTATTGTTTTCTTGTAAATAAAATATCGGGGGTAAAATTCAAACTGAACTCTTTAGTATACTCTGAGTATAGAGATTTCTCTTCTTAAGATTCAAAGGAAAGGACAGAGGCCCAAGCTGAAATGAATAAAACTTTCTTTTAATCAGAACACACTATAGTAAAATCAAGATGACACAAAAGTAGTTAAAATTATAACATTAAGTGTCTAACAGCCTACTGGATAGGATATTTTCCATTCCCCTTTAGGGTAGAAATGGTGGTCATAGAGTCTCCTCAAGGCCCACAATTATTTCTCTTGTCTGCTCTTTTGCCTGAGACACAGATGGATTTATAAACCTAAAATGATGTGATCCAGGTCCACCAATCAAGACCTAAAAGCAGTGCCAAGATGTACTAGTTAGGTGTGGTTTTCATCATATTAAATTACATGTACACATTAGGTGTTGACCACTGACACAAAAGACTGGAACACTACATGTACATGACAGTCGTAAAAATTGGAACACAGACAAAGCAATCTAACAATATAGCCATTCCATGGATATAGTTAAATCTAAATTCATATGAAAAAAACACTTAATAAAAAAAGAAAATATATAGTAAATTAAAAGGAATCCAAGAAAAAAAAATATATGAAAATATGAATACAGTTTGAAAAATCCATGTCCCTGTCATAGCCTTAAGGAACATTACTAACTACTGTAAGTTGCACTCTTTCTATGGGCTGCTTCTTAATGTAATTGGTCCTCAAATGAGATAAAATGTTATTGTCCCTTGAGGGAATTATTTATGGACACAAAACACTCCTGTACATTTAAATAGAATGCAAACAAAAAAAATGAAGAAAAGAAAAACATTGCACATTATTCTATTAGATAAAATAAGAAAAACAATGGGAAGGGACCTTAGGAAGTTGGTTCCTAGTACAAAAACAATTGAGAATCAGTAATGTACAATATCACCGATTGTAATTTATTTACAGATGCTATTCGTTTGATCCTGGTTCTTGCTTCAGTCCTCCTGATGTGGCTCATTGCAAATATGCCAATAAATATTCAGCTGAAAATCAAGGACACAAAGGACATTTTAGGTAATATAGCAAGACTGTCTTAAAAACTATCTGGTGCCTAGCTGTTCCTAATGGCATGAGTTCCACTTGGACAACAGTGAATGTGAACTTGTGTGAACCATCTTTGAATGGGAATCGTTTCGAGAAAATGGGAGGCTGGCTCTTCACCACTAACCCATTTGCACTGTTGTACAAATACGTCCACAAAGCTAAAAGGCTACTGTTGGTGCGATAAAACACATATCTTGAAGGATTAACTGTCAGCTTAAAACAAAGTGCCTGAAATGATGTAGAAGATCTCCCTAGTTTTTGAGATCACCATGGAATTGTTTCAGCATAAAGAGGAAAAAGAATTTAGTGAAACGAGTAGACTATAAAATGTCTAAAAGCTTTGAATATGTATATAATGTAATACATTATACTGTACATACACTTTTGACTATAATTGAATACCATCTATAACATAACTATCTTCACTTGTTACAGGGCTTCTTAAACCAACACCTGCACATGGTAAGGATCTTCAGAAAGCTGAAAGAGGATATATTTGTTTTCAAGCAAAATATTATTTCTCCCTTCTGTGACCAAATGCATGGCAGTAAGGCTATTTGTGATTGATGCCTTTCAGTTAAGTGTCAGCATGCATCCTGAACATTCTCTTCTTCAAGGAAAATAGATGCCTTAATCCATTACATAAAGTCATTAAGGGTTGTCCTGATCTGCTCCTGATTAGTGCAATTTAGTTAATATTGTCTGTTATGTATTCATTATCACAGATTTTGTATGGGTTCCCTGTGTTCACAAATCCATAAAACGTGTCATGTTAAAGCTCTTATGTTCACCCTGTACAATTTAAAATACCATACCTTATGGATATGTCCCCAGATCAGTTTTAGTCTCCCTGTTTCTTCTGCAGAGTTTTGCATCCTGAATCACTATTCCAAATTATGAATGAAATCTGCTATTTGCACTACTAAGCCATAAATTAACTTTATGTTTCCTTCTATGAAGTAACTTATATTATATATTTTGGTAACAATAACTTATATTGTTGTTTCTTTTCCAGACTTTCTAATGTCTGCCTATGTCTAATAGCTTTCAATAGTTTTCAGGTCAACAGGAGAGTACCTAAAACATTTCGCTTCATGGTTTATAACAAAAGTTCGCGAGAGATAACAACCAAGTCAATCAGACTCAGCTGTCAGTAATTAGCAATTGCTCCTGACATCCATTCCTCTCCCAAACACTATAAATACCTACATGATCCCTATCTCTTTCTCTTGTATGTCTCTTGCAATAGCCTCGCTGTCTCGCATATGTCCTTGCTTAGACAGTACTATGACGCTGCCTACACCATACGATCAATATTCCCATTTGCTGCTCCGATGCACAGTTGATCTCAGCCAGGAACAGAGACTTCCTTTCCTGTTTACAAAGTTATCGCAAATCCAGAGCTATTGCGGATGTTTCTTCCAACTCAAAGCTGCCTCCTTGCTGCTCATGCATATTTATTTTAATAAACAACTCACCTACAGTAGGTCATCAGAAGCCTTCCTTCTTCTTCTTACCATAATTCTGCACTGGTGGTTTGGGGTCCCGCTTGGTTCTTTTGGGGGTCCTGGCCTCCCTGTCCTATGGCTGGGAGGTAAGACCTCAGCCAAGATAGTTAAGCCACAATTTCGCTCAATGACTCTTTCATCTTGGATGTTGTCGTTCCTAGTGAATTATTGTATGTGTGAAGTATGCTCACAGGGCTTTGTATGAGGAATATGAATATCTGAGTTGTACATAGAATGTTAAATGTTCAAAACTGATGTGTTGTGGTGACAGAAAGCCCTGTACTTCCCCTGTACTGCACTTCTCTCTGTTTGTTCTTCTAGCAGTGGTCACACCAGCTAATAAATGTGGACTGTCAAAGGAGTGTCCTGCCGATCACTTTCCCTTCCGTATTAAAAGTGGGGCAGCAAATGTTATTGGACCAAAAATATGCTTTGATGGCAAAATGTAAGTACTCCAAAAGCCCTTTATGTTATTATAATTCTTAGTAAAGTAGTGAAATATTTTGTTTCAAGGAACATGCTGACCTGTAATATACTGTATAGACCACTACAGCAAACTCAGTGTGTCAAGCAGAAATATCTGTAAATATTTACTTTTTTCATTTTCTTATTATTAGAGTACAATTCTTATTGGAAAACATTTTCCACAAAACCACAACAAATGACATTCCAGCACCACAGGATGTGTATGAAACATTCTTGGCTATCTGCATAAGTGCCCCCTTGTGGTTTGTTATGCAAATGCTAGCAATACTATCAATGAGGACTACTATTCTTGATATCCCAGATGCCCCCAAAAGTGCTCCTTATGCTGTGCGACCCACTTTGTGAGAAGAACTTAATGGTCTTGGTAGAACAACAGTGCGTGTTTCAGAGGAAACATTATCGTTGTTTCTCTTGTGCTAGTACCAGGGATACAGGGATGACCTGAGTTGATCCCTATGCTAATGTAATATGCAGTACTATAATAATCTTGAATGATTATTATCCAGTCAGTTACATGGCCTAGTGAAAATGGACATTACTCAAAATAAACCATTGAGAAGCATCTGTAAAAGCATTTCTCAGACACAGTGATTTTATCCAAAACTACCATCCATCCATTCATTTTCCAACAGCTTTATCCAATTAAGGGGAGAGTCACAGCCTATTCTGGTTAGCCAAGGGCACAAGGCAGGGTACACCCTTGAGGAACACCAAACAGTCACAGGCACACAGAGACACAATGTACTGTACACACTCTCACTCCAGGGCCACTTTTTCCAGAAGTCCATTAACCTACACCAGTATGTATAAAGACATACCAATGTCTTTGGGCTGTGGGAGGAAGCCAGAAAACCTGTAGGAAACCCATGCAAACATGGGAGAACATACAAACTCTACACAGATAGTACCCCAGAACTGAACACAGGGCCCCAGTGCTGCAAGGTAGCAATGATAACTATTGGGCCACCATGCTGCCTCTAAACTACCAGGTTTAGTATTTTTTCTATATCACAAAAAGGTTTTTTTTAATACTTGTAAAACATAGAAAGAAACTTGTAGTGAATCTTAGGGCAGCTAGTCCACTACTTTTATCTGTTCATAATTATACAAGACTATACACTCACAATACTTAAATTATAAATAAATTGCATTTAATGTATAATATTACAGCAAGATTTAGTATCCAATATCACCTCAATTTAAAATTGAATAACGCTGAGACATTCACACCAGAGGGTGGCAGTATACTATCACCATTGATTAGATCAGGACGTTTAGACACTAGGGACTGCACTGGTGAACACAGGTGTACTGTATTAGTGTTAACATTTACTTGCCTTACGACTTGAACAGTTACTTCAAATTCTGCACTTCAGTCATTCTGATATTCCCTGAAAGAATAAACTATACATCAATAATAAACTGCCTGATCTTTCCCATTAAGAAAGCTACTGCCAGTAATGATTGTTGCAGTATGTTGAGTGTTTATAAATAAAATGAACAAAAAAGAGGACTGTTTTGGCACCAGTAAACTATAACATACCTTTGCCATTTGCATACTTGTAAAAAACATTTTTTTTATTTTATCTTTTTTTATGATATTATTACTTTTTAAAAGTATTTGATCTTTTTTTAGTTTGTTTCACTCTTCATTTTGTGGAAAAAAACAATATTTCACCACTTTTGTTTAGTATTGGAAAGAGTTGATATTGTTATGCCCTATACATTTCAGATCTGTACCTCTTTGTGTTATCTTTCCAGTGTTATGAGTAATGCATTAAATAATGTTGGATCGGGACTGAACATTTTGCTTGTAAATGGTAAGTGCAATTACTTCCATTAGAATAGGAGTGTTTAGGTTATCAGCAAAATTATATTCAGTAAAAGGTCTGCAGACATAATGAAGCTCTACATTCAAGTTGTTAATTGTACCATAATTACTGGTTTTATTCGGAAGGTAGGTTTAATCAAATGTTTTTTAAAATATAATGTTGATTTTAAGTCATATAAATTGTTACTCTTATGGTTAGAGTATTAATTTCAATGACATTTAATTCACAGAAATTTCAAAAAATATTTTAAAAACATTTAATGAAAATGTTATAGAAAACTTGATAGCAGAGATGATATAACTACTCTTTCGAAAGACTACAAGAAAATAGAATTACCATTAGATTAAAAACATCTTTCTTGGTTTATAGGGCAGACTGGGGAAATAATTAAGGCTGAATCCTTTAACATGTATGCTGGAGGTAAGATTTCCTTTATGTGTTAAGTTTAGGTGCGGATGTATCTTCTCTCAAGGTAGCTGCTGAAAGTTGACAGATGAAGTTTAATTAGCAATGACTATTCACTAGTAAGACATAAAGGACTCCTTTGCACTATGTAGTAAGAAAATCAAGAGTTTTCTGAAAGTAAGAAAAGCAGCATTAAGCAATTATAAATGATATTGTAGTGCCTTGCCATTTCACAACAAGCTGGTGACTGCTTTCCTTTAAAAGCCTTCACTTCTGAATGCATTAAAATAATAAAATGTTTCTCTTGCTATATTTTGGAATTGATTTAAAAAAGATTTGTAACTGTAGATATGCATGTAATATTATTAGCAGTGGCGATATTGGATATAGTATATATTTTTTTTTTATTTCTTCATTCTAACTGAATTAGTTATATTGTCATAGATGTCAAAGGACTACTGGAATTCCTTAAAGCAATAAAGCCTGGGACAATTATTATAGTGGCTTCATATGATGAACCAGCAACAAAGTAAGTATTACGATGGTGAATATTTTTTTCTGAATATGAATTTCTTCATTTCTGATGGAAGAAATAATCCTGTTTTATAATATGTCTTTATATTTTAAAATCACAATCAATATTGTTCTCTATTAGGTTTTTTAGAGTTTAGAGAACCTAAATGTTCTCTAAAGTTATGGTGATTTTCATCTAGTTTTGAAAGTTCCATGTTTACCAGATAGTCTACCTGTGAAATCATTATAAAATCATAGCAGACAAGAGTACAGATAATTCACATTGTGCAAGCTAAGCCTTTCTTTTTTTCTTTCAGCATGAATGATGAGATCAGAGAAATATTTACCAGGTTTGGAAGTAGCATGATAAAATCAGTGCAATATCGAGATAACTGGCTTTTCATAGGAGCTGAAGGAATTGAAGAGAAGAGTCCATTTGAAAAGGTAATGAAGTCTTAAAATATTAAACATTTGCATGAAAAAATGTTCATTTTGTAAGTAATCATATGATGCAAAAGATAAACCTTAAAACTAATTAAAAGTAGTCTATAAATGCAAAAATAAATATACCATAAGTTACCAACACATAAAGTGCAATTTATAACAACATGTTCCTGAGTTGAGAGGTCACCATAACTTAGTATGGTTGCCCAAACCTAGAATAAACTGAACACCAGCCCTTTCCACACCTCACGGAATGTTAAGTATAAATGTGTGCATAATAGTAAGTGAATACTGTGTTATAAACAGTGCTTTACTTCAGTTCAGTGCCACAGCAATCTAAGGATAAATTGTACAAACTTTGTTGGCATAATGACAATTTTTGCAACAACAATAATCTTCCACTATTGCCAGGTAGCATTTTTTCATGTGTTTTACTTATCTGTTGAAGCATTTGAAAAATGCCCAGGATACAAACATCTATGATGGCTGGCCTGAGATGATTGAAATGGATGGATGTTTTCCTAAGAAGATATAACAGATGTACAGTGGGGCTCAAACTGACAGCATGAATCACGTTAAGTTAAATATTGCAAAGAAAAATTTTGTTTGTGATCCATTTCTTATATTCTTTAGCATGCATTTTGTAAGTTCCATTTTGTCAAACTTATCTCTCTATGTCAATGCATTACTTTTCAAATGAAAAATGTGTTAAAAGCTGTTAAAAAAGGTCAACAGTACAGACACTCAAACACTTGGGGTGAACTCTGTTCCCCACCATTAATAAATCAGAACTTGGAAGTTCAGTCATTAAGCACAGGATTGGTGCTGTGTTTAATATGTTATTGACTTTGAATCTTTGGTTTTGTCTTTTTTACATCGAAATGTTGTTGAGGTCTAATTACACATTATATGTAATGTAAAATTCAAGTTTATTTATATAATTGAGGTGTTGTGCTGTGTTAGTATTTTTGCTGCACAAATGAGACTGACTTGTCTCTCATTTTCTACTGAAGGTTTTTGTCTGAATAATAAAATTAAGAGAGTTCTCAAGCCTTTGTTAATTTGTTTCCTATTCCACTGTTCATTCAGCTCTGACACTTTCACTTTCTTTTACAATTCAATGTTTAATTACTTTATAGTCTGTATTCCCCTTGAGACAAACATTGAAAAAAACAACACAGGTTATCACACTGGAACTCAAACTTTTTCAAATGTTTTCAGACAACTTTTGACTGAGAACAAAAATGTTAAATCCTGCATGATAATTATACATCTCCTTATTGCACCAAATGTATGTAGTTTACTATATATTATATTTACTGTTCAATGGTGTGTATTTAGTTTTTAAAAGACAAATGTTTACTTCCTGGGTTAGCTTTACAGTTTATCAAGCCACGCAATACTTTTGTTCCACCTTAAGCTTTTAGTTTCCTCAGTCCTGCTAACAAAGCGCATTTGATAGAGGAACAGAACAGTTTCATTGTGTGAGGCAGCAGCAGTGTGTTCTGCTTGTAGGCAGCAGAGAGGTTTTATAAAGTTCAAGAAGTGCCCATTTGTGATGTCATTAGCTAAAGCTCAAACCAGAGGCTCCTCTACACCCAGCTGCTCTGAGTCCAGGCTGACAGACAGGGAGAGTGCATTTTCATTTCAATTAGTTTTCATTACTATTAAGTTCTGTGAAACAGATCCTTAGCAGAGGATTGAAAAACAGGTACGAGGGATAGTACTGTACCTTGCCTTTAAATCAATGACTGTCTCCTTCTGTTTTTCCAAGCTATAATAGTCATTTTCCTGCAGTGAGGCTCTCTGTAAGACTGGCCATGTGCTCTCTGTGGTATCCTGGCCTGTCAGTGGCAATTAACATAATCTTCACTTATGTTCCTAAGCCTTTAAGAGTGGGGAGTCAGCCATGCACAGGTGGCCAACCAGGTTCTGTTCTCTTTTGTTATTTATAAAAGTGATCTTATGCTCTCACTAGGTGTGCTGTAGGAACTGTAGTATGCCATCTTCCCTTATTGTGGCTTCTGTCACCATTGTAGACTGTGGTCACTTCCAGGGACCTGGTGCTGAATGTGCTTACTTTAAGATCCTGCTGATCTAGCCTGCCAGTTTCTGTAGAATAACCTAGAGCTGTCAGGGAGCCAGGGACTGTTTTTTTTTACACTCTCTGCTGCAGCCTGTGCCTTCTACAGATTGTGTGGACAGCAGCACTCTGCTAGCAATACAGAGGCACAGTAAAGTGGAAACTCCTTCTCCGGACACTGCTAATAGGTACTCCAAGAGACTCCAAGGACGGCACACAGGGACCAGACAACATGGGAGCAGCTCATGGAAAGAAAGTAAGGAAAATGTTCCCTTTCTTATGTATTTGCTGATTGGGTTTTTTTCCCCCTGAACTGGAATACTAGCACAAGTGTCAACATTGAACATTTCCTACTGTCGACCATTTTGAATTAACTATTTAATAACTGTTAAACTGTTAAGCACCTACAACTACCAGGACAAAATACAAACATGTACAAAATGAAAAAAAAAAACTTCTATTGAATTCTATAAATAGCAGGCCATGCTTGAAGCTCAAGGATTTTAGTATTTACTTATAAATATACTTATACTGTATGTACTGTATAAGGTCTCTTGTTTTTATGGACTTTCTACTTGTTATCCAGAGGAGTAATCTTTTTTCAATTTAATTTATTTTAAACAAGAAATGAAAATAGGAGCCAGACAAATACAGAATAAACACTCAGAGTTGTCTTAGGTTCAAAAAGAATTTAACTGATTCAACTGTACTGTTATTTAATGAAAGACACGTTGTTTTTATCATAGTAGTAAAAGTCCACGTAACTGTAGATTAGATAATTTTTAGAATAAAATGAATGTGGGACTTGCATCTTCCTCCAGAACCTCAGAGCCATTTTAAGTCATACAATGTCATCAACCACCAAATTGCCATTTACAGCAACACTTCATCATGACATTTGTAACACACGTATAAATACTATAACACTAGTTGAACTACAGATTCACAAAGTCCCAGAGAGTGTTTTATTAACCAGTGAAACAGTATTGCAGCTTTACAGCAAGCTAGCCCTGTCAAACCCAGCAAGCACACAAGTTAAAGCTGAGTAAATTCCCAAATATTTAAACTATGGGGTGGAGCATTCTAGCTGAGGGCAGGGAGAGAGTGTGCAATTAGAGGTCAAGGAGCAGGCAATGACAACTGACAGCTGCGCAAATCAATAAGCTTTGTGGCTGTAAATAAGGAATGTTTTAGGAAGTCCAGACTATATAAAAACTATTTTTTAAAGGTATTTTGTAAAATCTTGTATAAGCCATTATTGTTTTTTATAGTTAATATCTACAAGCCCCTGTCATTCTACAGAATATATTATGCATCATGAGTACATATAAAATACGTTAAATGTAAATGTCTTGAACATAAGTTGTAACACAAGAGTAAAATAGTCCTGCCTGTATTATCAGGGGTGAATACTATATAGTTTGCTATTGAACAGATGAAAATAAAATGATTGGAAACTAACATTTGTTCAAAAAGGATAGCAACAGTCCTGCTGATTATGCGTTTTTCAACAAGATGAAGAAATTAAATGTTTTATATAAAATTTTGAAATTTCAGCTTTCACAATTACTCAAGATCACAGAAAGAGAGATCTAGGACATGACACAGAGCGAAATGATCACAACACAGTTAATCTCAGAGCAAACAATGGACATGCGGGGTGATTTTCCCCTATTCTTCCAAAGAAAGAAGCCTTCCAAGGAAACAAGATCACCATTAAAAATAAGTATGCAAAACTGCTGGTCTCAAATTTATCTAGTTCTCCTTCTAGCTAGCATATACTGTACAGTACACCATACTACCCTGAAACATTATGCTATGTGGAAATGTTACCATGCTATACAAGGTAATCCAAATGTCATACTAATGTGTGGTTTTTAGTGTGACTTCTAAATAAAGCACTAAACAGAAGCAAGTATTATTATGTTTTACATAAGTATTAAACCAAACACGGACCTCATAATAAACATATAAACAATAAAAACAAATATGTACTGTACAGCAATATAAAGATTTTGAAAAATATCAGCTGCAGCTGTTACCTACAGTAGATGATCATTAGGTCTGATATCTACATTTTGCCTCTACAGTGTACCTGCTTATCCAATAAGTAAAGGAATGTGCAGGCTTGGCTGGTAATCCACAATTGTACTGGACTATACCAGCAGTCTACAGCTTGCTAGAAATGCCAGTCTGAGTGATGGCTGAAATTTCATCCATGTTGCCATCATCCAGACCCTTCAGGAGTTTTGTGAATGTGCCAGAGGTGACATAATACAACATGTGCTTTAATAGAGTGAAAATGGTATATAAGTTACAGAAAGCTTAAAAAAGTCACATTATTCTAAATTAAATTTTATAATAAATGGATTAATATTCTAAAAGGCAACAAAAACTATGTGTTCCTATTATATTTTTTTCTGTTTTTACATTTCAACTGCCTCTCAGTATTATATATAGATTCATATAAACAAACATTAAATGTAATGTTCTAAGCACTTTGCCCTTCATTATAATGAATACTGTATATCCCTATCTGATGAAAACTCATTAGAATATTCTGGTCTGATTAATAAACTCTTTCACATCTAAGTCAGAGACAGAACAATATCTGTTTCAGTTTTTATGTATCTGACATTGAAATTACTAAACTGCATGCCATTGCTGTACATGCAGATTAGAAAATTATTATGGAAACAAAGGAAAGCCAATGCATTAATCCACATGATAAATCAACTGTTCTATAAAATTAAATGTTACAAAAACAGAGGTGGGCTGAGTGTACAGTGTATTTAAATAACTGAACATGAACATTGATTTTAGTTAATTAAATAGTGTTTTCCTGTGACCCTGAATTGAAAGAAGTGATTAGTAAATGGATGGATAAATGGAGTCATATGTTTAACTAATTTCATTTCATTTAACAAGGAAATTTTGTTAGAAATAATAAACAAAAAAAACAAGAAAAGATTGTGACCAGCCATTTTAAAGGTGCCCAGAGTTTGAGACTCAAACACATGGTTGGGTGGTTTGTTCCAGCTATATACTGCCCTTTGATTAAAGAAGTGTTTTCTATTCTCTCCCCTTTTGTTTCTAATTGTGTGACCCTGTGTCTTTATTTCACTACTGAGTGTGAAACAATCCCCTGTGTTGAGGCTGTCTACTCCTCCTAGGATCTTCGATACTTGAATCAAAGGTCTTACTAGTGCATTGTAGATCTTAAAACTAACTTTCCTGGATTTAAATACGATGGGTTTTGCTATATGCCCTAGCACTGTGTTTACTTTTTTAATGAGGACATAAATGAATTTGCATAAGTATCTACAGACAATCAAGTGTGGAGAGAGGTGTAATGACTGGGAAGTCAGGCATAGAGACATAGAGACAAGTCCTTAATCTAATTTGCTCACTGCACAACTCAATCCTCACACCTCACATCTGACTCCTCACTCCAAACCTCACATCCACACACCTCTTAATATTTAAATGGGGGCTGGATCACCATTGTCGTCTTCCAGTTCTACTCCAATATATTTTCTTGTGGTCGTACAAGGATTGTGTTCTGCTTACCTCCCTGATAATCTAGGAGGTTGACTCTGTCCAGCAGCATGCAGATGAAAACGTACTAATAGGTCAGACAGGATGGTAAACAATAGATAATAGATTTTGTGATTTACATAGCACATCAAATCTTTACCAGTCTTTATTGTTGAATATTAAGCATTATACTACAAGGTTATCAGCGGTTAGTTTCAAAGTCTAGCCTGTAATTGATGTCATCAAGTGTGGTCTTTCTATCCACTATGCAGGTTCTTCATTAGTTGATCGCCCTTTTGGGTGTTGGACAGTGACCTCTGACCCATTGTCTTGCATACCAGATAAAATAAACTCCAAGCTGCACCATATTTCATTAGGGAGTTTATGAAGGTACACTTCACAATGTTCAAGTCTGTTACTGATTTTTGGTATGCTATCTTATCACTGTGTGATAGTGTGTAATGGGAAGTGCCGCGGCGAGCACCAGTTAAAAGTCAATGCCCTGGGTGAGGGGATGGGAGCACCAGTGTGAGGCTAGTGTAGCAGGGACCAAATATAATACAAAAAGAGAAGAGTGGAAAAAATACAACAAAAAGAAAAAAAAGAAACAGTAAAACTGTGCTGCATTACCTCCAGGCTGGGCTTACCCTATTTAAAGGAGTCCAGCCTGAGAAAAAAAGATCCGCTAGCACAGCCATTCTCACTTTTTCTGCTGCTCAGGCCCTAAGGCAAACCATCAGCAGGGTCATAGAATTGAAGTACTAAAGCACTTAAGCAAGTGGAAAGCAACAGTACTAATATGGTGGACCTGTATGGTATAAAAGAAGCCGAACAACCTAATTTACATTTTATGATTTAATTTTCATGACAGGATTTTATTTTCTCTTATCATCGTCTTTGGACCTTCGGCACAATTTCATCTTGAACATTAATTCAAGTCTGAGACCCTTGTCAATAAAGCTTTAATAATTCTGAGGTAGATGGCGGTGGCATTACAGTACTTCTGCCTCACTTGGAGGAGGTGAAAGCAGTTTACTCTTTCTGCAGGTGATTATATAGAAATACTTAACTATGTGCTGATTTACTCATACAAATTGTATGTGTAGCCTATATGATGCTACTGTATATCTAACCTTCTGTATAATAAGATGGCAAGCTATCCTCTAGATCCATTTCTTCTTTGGAAATAATGCATTTCTCAATTTAAAATATTGGGTTAGGATATTAAAAGATTTTAACACTTTGCTGTATCAGCCACAAAATTCTGGAATGGTTGCTGGAAAAAAAGGATATATTGTATGTACAAATAGGTGGTACAGTACACACACAAGTCCATAAGCATAAGCACATGTGATTTCAGCAAAAGAGAAACTATATACATAGATATGTTACTACTGTATACAGTATAAACTGACCTCTGCCAGTCCAACAAAAACACTCTATAACAATAAAGAACACATTTAGAGATGTGTAGGGGCAAGTACTGGTTCAAGAAGTTTACATAAGAATTTAACACCTTGAAGGGTGAAGATAAGAAAATATGTGTTGTGCATTGACAGGGTCCCCTGTACAACTGATTTCTACAGATTTACAGGTGTAAGTGAAAACAAATCTGAACACACCATATCCAAAATGTCCAAACATTCAACAAACTGAAATTCCTGCAAAAAAGAAATTTAAATTTTCAATTGCTAGTTCATATGAAATATGTATAAATTA